CCCCCGCGCGCGCACCACTGCAGGGTGTGCGGCCGCTGCGTCCGCAAGATGGATCACCATTGCCCCTGGGTGAACAACTGCGTGGGCGAGGGCAACCAGAAGTACTTCGTGCTCTTCACGCTCTACACGGCGCTGGCGTCGCTGCACCTGCTGCTGCTGCTCGGCGTGCCCGTCCTGCGCAGCTTCGCGCGCGGCGAGTGGGGCGCACACAGCACCTTCTCGCCCCGCGGCTCGCTCGTCTTCCTCTTCCTGGTGGCCTTGAAGGGCTTCCTCTTCACGACCGTCATGTTCTCGACCCAGCTGTACGCCATCTGCGCCGACAGAACCAGGATCGAGCAGCTGCAGAGGGAGCGGGGCGGGCGGCGCCGATCCCGGTGGATGAACTTCAAGGCCGTCTTTGGCCACCGCGTCTCGGTGGCCTGGATCAGCCCCTTTGCTGCCCCGGAACCTCAGAAAGTACATGGCCAGCACGATGTGGTCTGAGAACGTCCCACTGATGCAGGCCACCCTGAGCACACGCTTGGGGGACGCTTGGGGGGACGCGGGACAAAGCAAGGCCCTAAGCCACGCCCTGTTGGGGGGTGTGGGCCGCGGCTGGGGGCACTGCCTTGCGGTCACGTGGTCTACAAATAAAGTATCCGGGCAGAGCCATAACAAACGCTGGCTGAGCGGTTGCGGTGACAGCAGTGCAGGTGGGGAACCCTGGCCCCAGCCTTGCGGCGGGGGGGCCCCCCCCGCCGGCCGCACTTTGTGTAGTGCCCTTCAAATTTGGGGGGTCAGTATTCTGTTTAGTGTTTCTGTCTTGTGTTCATATCCCCTTATCCACACAATGCTTTTAGAGTGTGCCCCGGACGCAGTTTCTGAGCACGCTGGGCCACGTAGTGTTATGCTGTGAGATATGGAGACCGAGACCACCGGGAAAGTTCCGTTTTAGGAGCCTTTGTTCCTGGCCAGAGACTGCCATATTGGCCAAGGACTGCTGCCCCTGCCACTGCTAGGTAGCCTTTGGCACGACCGATCCACAGCTTTGCAGAGCATTTAAGCACAAAAACCACGAGAGAATATTACACTTTGCAAGGGTCGGGGCGAGAGGGGTAAGGAGGACGGGGCTGCAGGGTCGGGGCGAGGGGGTAAGGAGGACGGGCTGCAGGGTCGGGGCAAGGGGGGTAAGGAGGACGGACTGCAGGGCTGGGGCGAGGGGGGTAAGGAGGGCGGGCTGCAGGGTTGCTGTATCCCTTCGCCAGCCGACTTAGGGTGTACAGAAGCAGAGCATGTCTGGTTCAATGTAACCACGCCCTGGTTTCCCTCTGCTCTCTGCGTGGGTGAGGCAGGCCTGTGGGTGCACTTAGCCTCACATACGCCATTTTCCCTATTGTCCGTCTTAGTCTGTCACATTAGGAACCCACTGGTGGGTCACACCTCGAACCTCTGGGTCTGGTCTTCACTTTTAGCCATTGACCTTGAGGTACCTGTGGGTCTGTGACCCCGCTGCCTCATCGGGCCCCCGTGTGACTATCACAGAATCACTGGGAGACCCACGGGCCAGCCGACTTCCCAGGGCACGTGCACTCCCTCGCACATACGCGCACACGGCTCTGGGCAGCGATGCCGTGTGCCCATCGCCACGGATAGGCAGAGCGGGAGCTTCCTTCCTAAGGACACCAGCCCCTCCCTGCTGCTCCCCAGCCTTGGCCACCGCAGGTTCCCCAGCCCGCGCTCTGCCAGGGAGACTGCGGTGCGGATGAGCTCTGTGGCCGGTCATACGTGGAGCACGGCTGTGCCCTCAGCCCGTCCCCTGGCATGTGTAGTTTTGCCTGAGGGGACAGCTAGTTCCTGTTGCTGGTGGCCAGACCAGCTGCGCTGGGGTTAACATTGCCTACTGAGGGGTGTCAGGGTTGCTCCCAGTTTAGGGCTATCGCAAACAGCTTCTGTGACTGTTGGGTACAGTTTTTCACGGGAACCTGAGTTTTCCGTTTCTCTGGGATCAGTTCCCAGGTGTAGTCACGGGTCATACCGCAGTTACCACAGCCGACAGTACCGCAGTACCTCAGCACCACAGTCCACAGTACCGCAATACCGCAGTACCACAGTACTGCAGTAACACAGTCCACAGCACCACAGTACCTCAGTACCCCAGTCCACAGTACGGCAGTTACCACAGTCAACAGTACCACAGTCCACAGTACCGCAATACCACAGTACCACAGTCCACAGTACCACAGTACTGCAGTAATACAGTCCACAGTACCGCAGTGCTGCAGTACCACAGTCCACAGTACCTCAGTACCACAGTCCACAGTACCGCAGTTACCACAGTCCGAGAATGGAAGAGAAGGGATACCTCACTACTGCAGTCCACAGTATCACAGTCCACAGTACCGCAGCACCACAGTCCACAGTACCACAGTACCACAGGTGGCATCTACCCCACAGGGATTCTTTCTCACATCCACAGGCTGTTGTTAGGGGTCAGGGTGCCAGTGTGGAAGGTACTGTGAGGGCCATCCTCTCACTGCATGGAAGTGGCTGGGCTGTCTCAAGTTCCCTGTGCAAGGGTACTGAGTCCATCAGGGGACTCTACCTCATGACCTAATCACCTCCCAGAGGACCCCCAACCCCAATGCCTTGGGGGATGGGGAACAACATGCGTTTTCAGGGTCAACAAGAGGCCATGCTGTGACAGACAATTCATCATCTCACCAACAGGAAGGGAGATAGGCCATTGCTACAGGGGACCAAGCTCCAGTGAGGTGGTTCTGAGTGAAGAGAAACTAGCAGTCCTGGTGGGTGGGACCTTGCTATCTCCCAGGTTGTGGCCCCAACCAGCCCCCATGCCCACCTGCCCCCACCTACAGAGCACCCCACTGCTTGTAGGGCTAGGGCTGCGTTTGGCTGTGGGCACCCCTGGGAGCACCATATCAGAGAAGGAATATGAAGGTCCTGTCTTGCCACAGTGACAGGAGGATGGTTTTCTGCAGCTTCATGAGAATGGGAGAGTGTGTCCCCAAAGACAAAGCCCAATAGAACATATGAAGAGATACTTTAAAATGAATATATTTAAAGAGTAAAATTAATGCAGACACAATGAGACAAGAAGAAGACACTGAATAAAGGAGGTAAATTGTAAACAAATGAAAAAAATAGATGGAATTTGTAAGAGTAACATATAGTCACTGAATGTAAGAACTAAACAGCCAAGTTAAATGGTCAATTAGAGCTGAAGGGCATTTAACGTAAATCTGAAGTCACTGTCACACAGGAAGGGAAATAAGAAAGACAGATTGAATAAGGAAGTTTAGCACAAAACTACTAAGTGTTCTAGAAGAGAGAAAAGGGTCAATAGGCAATGTTTAGAAAGATAGTAAATTACAATTGTCTAAGGATGAAGGAAACATTTTCTACTAGTAAAATAAATAAAAGCAAATATACACTTTGCTCATGTTGATGTGAAAATCAGAAGGCTACATACACACATGTATATTCTACCATGGAGTAGAAACATTACCTTCAAGCAACAAGACAATTGGGTTCTACAAAGACTTCTCACCAATAATGATTGCTAAAGGGAGTGAGATGATATCACCAATGTGCTGACAGAAAGCAACAATCAACAATTCTATACCCAGCTAAAATATCTAAGAGTAAAGACAGTTTTAGACCAAGGCCAAAAATGTACTATCGCAGGAAGAATTTGGTATATTTTAGGATGAACTAACATGATACAAGAAATTATGGTGATCAAATAAATTGGTAAACATGATAGTAAGTCTAAGTAATTGATTGTAAATAAAATGAATAATTTCGTGGCTTATCAATAGCATGGGACCTTCATATCTAGCAATAGGGCAAATGAGTTACCTAATATAACCTACTGAAAATAACCACACAGGCTGGCCTTATAGCCTAGTGGTTAAAGGAGTTGGATCCCTCATTACTGACCATGGTTCACGTCTGGTCTGAGTGGCTTGAAAATCATCCTGGGGGTACCAGCAGATGTCTCCCATGTAGTTGACTGTGGTTTGAGTCCCAGATCAGTGGCATAAATCTCAAACCAGGTACATGTGCATCTGTGCCCAAAATCTCAAGAGGAGAATGGAAGAGAAGGGATTGTGGCATGACCATCCCTCAGGGGTTGATTTCTCACTTTCACCTGTCTCTCTCTCTCTCTGGCCAGCACATGTACCCTACAGCAAAAATCTCTCTCTAAAAAAAAGAAAATCATGCTAGTAACATGTGTTCACACCCCAAATCTCAACAGGATGGAAAAACAGAAAAGAAAGACTTGTGGTGTGGCCATGTCCCATAGACAGGGGCTCTGTCTCTGTCTCTCTCAGGCATACATCCTCTGGTAATTAAAAATACATTTAAAATTTTAAAAGAGGAGCCTTGGGTCCAGGAGATGGTGTAGCAGTTACATCACTGAGCAACTGCTGTTCGAGTCCTGGACCCAGGGGCTTGAAAATCACACTGGACAAGTGCCCATTCATGCCCAAGATTCCAGGAGAAGGGATTGTGGCGTGGCAATTCTCCTTGAGGGGTGATTCCTCACTTTCACTTTATCTGTCTCTCTTTGTCCTGCAAGCACACATGCCATAAGGCAAAATACTCTTTAAAAAAAAGGGGGGGGGGTTGAGATTTGAACGTGGAAGAGGCTTGGACTGTCGAGTTAAGCAGTTAGTTATCCAGGTCAGTCCAAATTAAAGCCATCACAGAAACACTTTGCAAAGCTGTCAGGCTTGGAAAATATCAGGTCTCGGAAAGGACATGAGGAAGCAGGGCGGGGGGTGTTGTGAACAGCTGTGACCGTGACACTGGGATGGTTGTCTGCCAACGGTTTTCAGAGGCTATGGCCAGCTCAGCCCCCCACCCCCGGCTAAAGGAGGAGCCACCCCTTCCCGAGGTAGAAATCTGTGGAGATGGCACACATGCCTTTCATTTTTTTAACTTTTTTTCCCCCCCCAGAGGTTTTTGCAATAGGGCGAGTGCACTTACCGGGGAGACAGAGACAGAAAGTGAGAAATCACCCCCCGGGGGGGATGGCCATGCCACAGGCCCTTCTCCTCCATTCTCCTCTCCAGATCTTGGGCACACACGCACACATGCCCAGCGTGACTTTAAGCTGTCAGATCTGAGACTCTGACCATGGTAGCCGACGTGGGAGTCCAGCGATGTAACCATTACGCCATCTGCTGGGCCCAGACATCATCTTAAAATCAGCTCTTTCCCCCTCCAAGGAAACCTGAGGCTACTCAGGGGTGACCTTCGAGGAGTCCCGCTGGCAGCACTGAGAGGGTCCTAATCGTGTGACACACTTCAGCACAGGCAGGGGGTGTCCCGTAAGCCTCGGCACCAGGTGGACTGGCCTGTGTCCTGTGCTCCTGCGAGGTGGGCGCTTTGGCTCTGGCCACGTCTGCCAGCCCCAACTGCACCACAGAGCACAGGGAGGGTGATGCGTCGTGCTGGCTTTTCACATTTTCTTAGAAGCAGTCACTTTGCCGTGGGTTTTTTAAAGTGACTGGTGTTCGATCCTCCTCCTCCTCCTCCAGAGCTTGGAGTTGCCCACACCCAGAGCCATGCAGTAAATGGAGTCTCTGAGGCCCTTTACTAAGATTTCTGCTCATCCGTGTATTTAAAGTTCTCAGGCTA